GAGCTGGAGGACATAGGCAGTGGAAGGAGGTGGGGGGGGGCTAACTGGGCTTAGGCCACCCAAACACAGGGCAGCAGGTAGGGCCCCATGGCAGCCTGGCCGCAGGCTGTTTCAGTGGGGGGGGAGGGGCGTGCACACTCCTACCCTGCGCAGCCAGGTTCACAGCTGGCTCAGCTGGCAGGTAAGTTTCTTTCAGTCTCCTTTCTACCTGGGCTTGAAGTGGGGGCAGATGGAGACCCCCACAGTGTAGGAGGGAGTGGGGTAGGGGCAGGGGTGAATGATTCACCCATGCCCCGCTCCCTTGTTGCACTGTGGAGTTTGCCCCATGACCCAGCCCGGCCAGGGCCCCATTCACAAGGATGGGCCCTGCCCCCCCTTGGCTCCTGTGCACCATGCCTCTGGACTATCTGCTGGGCTCTGATTGCCCCACAACTCGGCCCAGCTGGGGCTCCATTCACAGTGAATGCCAAGGGAAGAAGCCAAGGAGGGGGCATGTGGCCCCCCAATCTGTGCACGGGGCAAAGGCAGGCTGCAGCTGTGGGCAGGAATCTGCCTGCTCCCTACCTGTGCGCCTCACTGCCTCCTTTGAAAGCAGCACGGGATGACACCTTGTGCCTCGCTGCTCATGAAGCCACGCCACTTTTCAAGATGGCAGCAAGGCACGCATGCAGGGAGCAAGCAGACCCAACCCACAGCTGTAGCCTGCCCTTGCCCCGTGCAAAGATCAGGGGGTTACATGGCCCCCCCCCTTGGCTCCCCAACACCGTACCTCTGGAGTAGCCACTGGGCTGCACTGGGCTCTTCCCAGGGATGATATGGGGTAGCTGCAGGGGTCCTGTGAGTTCCATCTCCTTCGGCCTGGCAGTGGAAGGCCCCCGGCTCCAGGCCCCCCCTGGGCAGCATAGGGCCGATGCAGGGAGGCAGCTGGGGCCACTGCGGGGCTGGGTAGCAGTGAGTTTGCAGGGGCCACCAGTGCCAGGTAATGACCCCAGGCACGGGGGAAGGGGTGGGTGCAGCAGGCCACAGCCCCGACCCCAGGCCTAGCTCTGGTCTCCTGGGCCCTTTCCCCTCTTCCTACCCCTTCCCTTGGAGACTTTCCTGTTGGGC